CGCGCAGAAGGGGCCGCGCGGGGTCAGGGGAGCTGTTGGTGGGGCCACGGGTTTGCCCCAAAACCCGTCCCGTGAAGAGCTGATGCGGTGCCCTGGCACGAGGTCAGCCCTTTTGCAGTGTAGGTGTTTGCAGAGCTGCGATGTCTTCAGGGGAAATGGGATGGTAGTGTCCTGGAGGGAAGGAGGATGGCCAGGACCTGCCAACAGACATGGAGCAGAGTGAAAAAGTGATTCCGTGGAACCCCAGTAGTATCAGAGAAGGCAGAATAGGAACTAGAGCTTTAGGCCTGCTCTCGCTGCTCTGCTGAGCGGCTGCGGAGACAAGACTTGCTCACTAGCTGGCAAACCTGTGGGTCTGAGAGTGCGAGCCATTGGGGGAGGAAAAGGGAGCGGAAGCGTGGAGGTGCAGAGGGAAGGCAGAGGTCGTAGAATCGAGTCTCTCACATCTAGAAGTTTGTGTCACTTTCACATGCTCCTTAACATTTTGCAGGGGGTTGTGTTTGGGTATTTTGGGTATTTGTGTTTTTCACATACGTGATTTTTTTCATCCCTCTCTGAAGAGCCAAAGACTGACATCAGCCTGCCACGTGCTAAGCTGCTGGGGGCAAAGGAGGTCAAGGAAAGAAAAAAGATCCTGAGGGAGAACCGCCAGAAAGAGCAGCACGGCTCCGGACTGGTCTGTGCCCCGCCACCTCCCTCCCTGCCCCGGCCGCTCTGGGTCCCCAGCTGCCTCCTGCAGCATTTCGCTCTCCTTGCAGTGCTCATCCCCCTCGATGAAGTCAGAGCTGAGTGGGAGAAGACCAGTGGCCCGTTCCACAAGCAGCGCGTGGCAGAGCACTGCGGGATATTTCGTGACTTGTTCAAGGGAGCCACGTTCACTCCCTGGGTTACCTTGAGGGTGGAGTATAGCCAAGAAGACGAGGACCTTGTGCCAGTCTACTACGGGAACATGGTGACTCCATCAGAGGTGTGTGAGAGGAGCTGGGAACAACCTCGGCCCCACGGGCAGGCCGTGTGGTTTTGTCAGGTGCTTTTGATGGGCATTGTCCATTCCGGGGGCTTTCTTTTCCAAGGGTATTTCAGTTGTGACAAAGGAAACATGATGGATGTGCTAAGGACAGAGCTTTGCAACAGGGTTATTGTCCATCGGCAGGCTGATGTTTAGTAATGCTCCAAGAGGCTCTTCAGACTGGATTACTCGGTGGCGTGGCCGTGCCCGTGACAAGTTCATATTCTTTGCTTTGGAAATTATGATCTGGTCTTCATGGAACTTGTTGTTTGAGTGATTTACTTTCTCTTTATGTTGCTCCTTTAGGCTTCCAGCCCTCCTGCAGTGTCATATGAGGCAGATAAAGGCTCACTCTGGACTTTGTTGCTCACAAATCCAGGTGAGTAGCAGGTTCTTTAAAAAGAACTCGTTTAAATGGGGTTGTTTCACTCTGCTTTTGGTTAGCTCCTGTTTCTTCGGGCTGCACAGTATCTCCTAAGTAAGGAAGTATTACATGTGCGGGAAAGATTATAGCCTCCCCAAATCTCTGTCTGTTTAGAGATGGGACAGTGCTGCAGCAGGACCTATGTCGTGGTGTAGTGGAAGCAATTCCCTGACTCCCATCTCGTGTTTACCCCCCAACTCTTCTGTCCCTCAGCAATCTGCCTGGGAGGTAGGTTAGCTGGCACTGTTTGTCCTGAGAAACCAAGACACAGTGAAGTGAAGCAGCTGACCAAGAAATCCTTTTAATCTTGGAATTACACCTGCAGAGTTCTTTGCTCTTCATTTTAAGCTCAGTCCTGTAAGAATGAGTTAATTTCCTGCTAGGAAAGGAATGCTGGGAGGTCTCGAGCTGCCTCCTCCCTTCAGAGGGGGTCTGGGCATTCTCACTCTGGGCTTGAGGCAAACACCAGGTTGTCACTAAGTCACTTTTCTCTGTTGTGTGTGTTTGCAGATGGACATTTGAGAGACACGGATTCGGAGTACCTCCACTGGCTGGTGTGAGTACTGCACATCACGGCCGCGTGCTGCTCAGCTCAGGGAAAGCCCAGGTGCAGAGGGCAGGAACTCCTCCAACAGAGCTCAGGAATGAGCATTCACTGAGAGTTCCGTGGCTTTCTCTGGTTCTCCTGCCATTAGCTTCTTTAGCAGGACCCAGAATACCGGGGTAAAGTACTGCTGCTCTTTGGCGTTCACATGCTTTCTTCCAGTGAAAACAGCTTCTACTTGTCAAACAGGGTGTAAGTCACATCAAAACGTAGCACAGGGTGACTTGCAATCCTGGGTGAGTCTGCTGGTCCCAGTGGAGGGAAGGGAATGGACACATAACAAAGGAAACTTCTTTGTGTTCAGGACAAACATCCCAGGCAGCGACATCAAGTCGGGTAAGGAGATCTGCCATTACTTGCCCCCCTTCCCTGCCATGGGAACTGGCTACCATCGCTTCGTCTTCCTCCTCTTCAAGCAAGACTGCCCCATAGATTTCAGCGAGGATGTTCGACCGACACCGTGGTAATTCAGGCTTTCACTGCGCAGCTTCACGCTCGCATGGCTGGGCTGTTACTGCTTGTTATGGTGACACGTTTGGTACTGCTGTAGGAGAGCAGTTCCTTTTAATCTGCAGGGTTGTTCAGGGCTGCTTTGAGTTTGTGTGGCATCTGAAGCCACAATCCCAGCCCTGCAAGCACTGTGGCATCCTGTTGCTATAAACCAGGCTGTTAAGAAAGTGTTTTTTCCTACCTGGGGCAGAAATGTGCACAGAACTGGAGAAACTGGGAGGGGTTTTTTTTAGTGAATTCCTTTTCCACCTCTGTTTTATAGACTCTGGGATGCTGTGGGGAAGTAGTTTCTTACCAGAGTGCTGCAGAAAAAGAGTTTCACCTCAGCTCTTGTGTCTTGTTTCCAGCCACAGCCTCAAGATGCGAACCTTCAGCACATTTGACTTCTACAGAAAGCACGAGGATGCGATGACCCCGGCAGGGCTGGCGTTTTTCCAGTGTCAGTGGGACAGCTCCGTTACTTGGGTCTTCCATCAGCTCCTCAGTAAGAAATGCACCATGGAGGGGACCTGTTTGTGGGCAGGGACGTGTCCCTGCAGGTAACGCACAGGGTCGGGGAGCGAGCTGGGGCTGTCGGCTCTTGCTTGGTCCTGACGCTTGTCTACCCAGTCTGTGCTGTGACAGATCTTACTTACCGAGCTGTCTTCCACCAAACTAATAGCAGTCTGAGGAAACAACCTCTAAAAAGGCCATTTTGAATGAACATTCTAAAATATCACCCAGAGAGCCTTCACCAGGGCTTGCTTGACCACGTGTGCGCATGGGGGCCCTTGCTGGCAAAGGAGGGGGTTGGGGTTTGGGGTTTGGATGTCAGCCATCTTGCTAACGTTCTGCTTCACCCCTTTGCAGATATGAGAGAGCCTGTGTTTGAGTTCGTGCGGCCGCCCGTTTACCACCCACCGCAGGTAAAGTTCCCACGCCAGCAGCCTCTGAGATACCTGGACAGATACCGAGACACCGAGGAGCCCACCTATGGCATTTATTAGGGGCCTGGCCCCCTCTCGAGGCGCTCAGGTGTGTGCTGGGATGCTGGCCAGGCAGGTGGGGCTGCCGGCTGCCCTGCATTCCCAGCGCTTTGCAGCTGGGAGCATCTGTGCCTCTGGAGGAAAATGACAAATCCTCGTCCCCTCAGTGCCCAGTTCCCCTGTGCTGGGAAGTGCACAGCTGGGGGCAACAGGCATTTGCAGTGCTGGCCGCTGTGTCAAAAGGCTACTTAAAGAGGACATTCGCAGATGAAAGCAAATTTCTGGCCAGGCAGAAGTCTTGCTACTGGTTCTGTCGCAGAGCTGATTGGTAAGGGCGGCAGGGTGGGGTGCTCCAGAGATGCCCTGCCTTTCTTCTCTGCAAGGATCACAGTTCTGCTGCCTGTTTATGGAACAAACAGCCAGGCCAGCCTGGGTTCCCTCCTCTTTCAGCGCTGTGGAGTTCACAACTGTGTCAGCTTTCGTTTCTGCAGTCCTCTTAAAGAGATGGGTCTGATTAAACACACTCTGAGCGACACTGACGGTGCTGCCTTGTCTTTACTGGGAAGAGGTTGGTATCCTAGCCAGCTGGCGCAGAGCTGGGGAGCTCAGCAGGATGCGGGGGAGAAGGGCAGCCCTTCCCCTGGCTGAGGTCTCTTCCCCTCTTAGTTGTTGTATAGTGGGAAGAGTGCAGCTGCGCAGGTGGTAAACCTGCACGAGGTCAGCGTTTGTGGAGCTGGCTTCTCCCGACAGCTACTGAAGCACACGGACCTCAGTCTCCTTCCCCTCGCTCCCTGGACAGCACGTACCTGGAGCAAAAGCAGAGCTGCCGGGGTTGGGGCAGACGCGGTGGTGGCCTGGCACTCTGCTGCTACTGGTCCTGAACCCAAACTGTGGGGAGCCTCTGCTTTCTGCTGCGCTCTGCAGGGCTTTGTGCATCCCCTCTTCACGTGTTTAAACCCCCAAATACCAACGTGTTCTCGCTGTTGTTCCCAGCTCTGGTTCTCAGTGGCTTTTTCTGAGGTTCTGCCCTTCCTCAGGAAATAAGAACCCCCAGCAAACAACTGGGATTGTGCTGAAACGTGCCCCTGCTGCTGTTACGAGCTATGCCTGAGCTCCCTGAGCTCTCCTCCTGCCCCGAGGGGTTCGTGGTCTGGTTTAAGCCGGGGTGAGTTGGCTGGTGAGGGGACCGCAGCAAGGTGCAGGTGTCCTGCAGTTCCAGGCAGACACACAGGTCGTGTTTCGCTCGTCTCTGAGCTTGGAATATTTGGTCAGAATTTGCAAATTCAGCCCAAAGAAATGCTTTGGGGGCTGAAGCTATGCTGGGACGTGCAGGGAATTGTGACAGATCCCGTCATTTCCTGAGTCCAGGGGTGGGCTGGGGGGGTCTCTGAGCCTGTCTGTGATACAGGAACTGCTCTGACCCCCCCAGCAGCCCACCAGTGAGCACCCCAGCTGGAGCGCAGGCCTCACCCTCGCCTGTGAGGGTGCAAGCAAACCGCACGTGTCGGGAGGCTGCAGAACTGTTGCAAAGCATTCGCCTGCCCGGGAGTGTGCATGAGCGATAGCACGTCTGTAAGTACGGAGATAAGGTTTGGACTGGAAGGTTGGGAGCTTTTTCTCCTGAAACTGAGCTGTATGAAGACAGGGTGAAGGAAGGTGGTGCACATGTACCACAATCGCCTCTGGGCAGCAGATTCCCCGTTACCGAGCAGGGATGGATTGCCCCGGTGACATCTTGCATTTTGCAGTCCGGGTGTGCAGGGGTGTTGCAATGAACTGAGCAGGAAAAGCAACGGTGGGTGCACACAAGGGAGTGTGCAAACAGCAGGAGAGTAGTTTAAAATGGAAAGATGCAAGGGCGGAATGTGGCACTGGCGGGCTGCTGGCATGTGTCCCAGCCCTTGTCACTGCCCAGGGAGGTGACGAGGCTGCAGCAGCAGTGGGTGCCCCTCTCTGCTGGCTCCCAGCCTGGTGGATGGTGGGATCGCTATACCGAGATCTCTGCCAGGGACAGCTGACGGGCTCTGCTCGAGGACACGGCCCTGGCAGAGGTGAGGATGCCAGGAAGTTCCCTCGAAGGGGAAAAAAAAGGAGTGAAATCAAATTATACTTTGTACGTGTATCTGTGCAAACACATCAGTGCACGTACACATCACTCTGAACCATGTCAGCCTCTTGTGTGCGTCTCCCTGTGCCATCACTGCAGCATTTCATCCTCTCTGGGGCTTCCTGGTGTGCTTCACAGCCCTCCCCGTCCCCGGGGGGGAGCAGCCCCAGCCCTACCCAGCGTGGGGCACAGCCAGCCCGGCTGAGAGGGCCA